CCCTGAGCCCTTGATGCACTCCTCTAGTGTAGCAGTAAGCTGCAATCGGGTCCCCTCTCAGCCTTCTTCTCTTCAGGCTGAAGAATCCCAGATCCCTTGGCCTTTCCTTGTATGGTTTGCACAGATCACCAGGTCCAGCCCCCTGCACCAAGCAGGAAAGACAGCTGGGGTCAGGTGATCCCAGTGAGGCGACCATCCAGTCTCCTCTTAAAGATTTCCAGGGTTGGTGATTGCACCACCTCTGGGGGGAACTTAATCCTCAGACTGGACACACTAACTGAAGAAGTTTTTCCTATTCCTTTTCTCTTATTTGCTGTACTTCTGTCTTCTCTTCTTGCCTTTTGCATTTTTGACAGGGAGATTGACAAGATCATCTTGGTTTTTCAGATCAAAGCACAACTGCTCACCAGGGCTTCCCCTTCCTGCTCCACTGTTATGTAAAACAAGGGCAGAGGCTTTTCATGTGCAAAGCCTGGCAGCAGGCTGAGAGTTGCCAACATGGAGGTGAAAGATGCATAACAGAGATGGACTGCAGACAGTTAGCCTTAGAAAGGTGCTTTGTCCTGTCCTAACAAAAGCTCTAACATGTTTTTGTCCCCTCAGAATGGATCTTTATCTTGAGGATTCTGGATTACCTCTGAGCTTCCAAGAAACCTCTTGTGTCTGTGGCTTATCAGCTACAGTCAAAGCAATCTCTCTGTAAGCTAGCATATTTGAAACCCTTTGGTGTCTCTTCCTTGGTTCCCGATTCCTGACACATGGCTTAGTACAACATTCAACTAGCTTAAATTTTAAATTCCAGATCATTTGTGCAATAAGCGTAAGCCATTAAAGAATGGTATTTCTGTGCTAGACCAGTCATCCGGTCAGAGGAAAAAGTAGCAAGGTAGGAGAAATACAAATATTGCATTTCAGGGACAAGGAGTACTTACAAGTCACTCCACTCTGCTAGAACAGCTTTGTTATATTAATCTTATTTGGCAGTTTGTCAGGCAGAATTTCTGTTGACTGCGGTGGATGTTGTTGGGCAGGAGTGCTGAATTAGGGCCCTGATTAGAGGTTGATTTTCCTTTATACCCACCAAATATCGTTTGGAGATAGCCTCTCTTTGCTTTAGACAGCTATGTGGATCTCTGATATTAGTCCTCAATATCTTCAATTCTGGACCAATACCTGAAAGTATTGTTAGTGTTGAGACAACAGAGCTTTGCATCTTGGCAGCTGTCAGCACTGGAAATAAGTGGATTGGATTCATTGCTAGCTCTGGCGACAGCCCGGATACATTGGATTCTAAATTCAGTCATTCTGATTACCACCTTCCTCTCCTACTTCAAGTAAGACCTGTCTCGATCAGCCAAAGTGCTACTTAAAAACCAAGTCTTAAAGCTTGTGGAAGCTATAAATGTTTGGAAACTATGAAACACCTGCTGAGATCAGTGTCATCTTAAAAAGAGCATAGTTTATTTTCATAACACCATTGCCCCACCACTATTGCAATGGAAATGTCAACAGGAGATTCAGCTTCTCTTATTTTGGAAATACAGAATCTATGCTGAGGGGAAGAGGGCACACCTCACTTCCTTTCAGGCTCTGAAGCTGCTAGAGAAGTTATAAAACTGACCTTCCGTTCTCTTGAAGAGTGACCAAATGAGAGGACTGCAGCATTAAGGTTTATTATTTTGACTTGCCAAGCTAGCTATCGCTACATCCTGCACAAATGCAGCGGGGACATGTTGATCCTTCCAGCGATTATCACATAGTGTCACTCCATGATGCCCCCCAAAATGCAAAATGTCCTTGTCTAAGCTGTTGTGCAGGATTAAGTACCTTGGATTAACTTGGGGGGTGTTGATTGTAGCCATGTTGGTCTAAGGGCATAGACAGGCAAGGTTCTTTGGCTAAATGTGATATTTTTTATTAGATTAATCTTGTATTGGATTAATTTAGCACATATACCTCTTATTTCTGATTCTTGTTTTGATCCGTGCATAAGGCCAATTGGTAGTTGCAGTTGGAAAGCCTGTTAATGGTTAATTAGATCTAGTGAATAGCTTAACCAAAATATCCTCTGAAATTTTCTGCAGAGGTGAGTTGGTCTCTTGCCTGGAGTAAAATGCATGAATGCTAGTGTCCATTCTTGGCTTAGTAGCAGAGCTGAAACTGGATGTAGTTGGTTCTTGGAGATGTGATTTGTAATCATCAACAGGGGAAAAAAATAAAAGCTCCTGTAAAAACAAAGCCTACATGTAACTCTGGCTATAACCTGAAAAACGGAGCCTATTCTAATCCTCACTCTCCTAGTTATCTGAAGGGCTAGTTTGTGATCTTTGACATACGACTACGCTATAGAAAGAGTTTGAATTATGCAGTGTACCAGGACTCCTAAGTGATCTCTGTCTGAGTTTACAATCCTGTGCCACACACAGATAACTAAGAATTCACTGCGTGTATTCCCTTGTGTCAAAAGACCTGCAGAAATCCAAGTTAATCCGTAAATCTCAGACTCTTTGTTACACTTTGCTTCTGCATTTTGTGTTAGACGGCTCTAATCAGGCAATATCATGGCATGCTTCTTGCTAAGCATGAGTCGTTCTGGATTGTATGTTCTACCATGATCAACATAAGGAAGCTTTTTGTCCATATAAGGAAATATCTTTATATTATATACAGACTCTGCATCTATAAAAGGCACCGAGGGGTACCTCTGCAGGGTTGAAGACTAGCAAGAAGAGAATAATAACGGGCGACTTAAGTGTATCAGCCTCATCATTTGCAATTAAGTCCCTTAATACATTGACAGCAAAGTTGGAGCGATTTCCTTGCAAATTGTGTCCTAACACTGAAGGGTACCCAGTCTGTCAAACAGAAGATAAAATTAATTCACCATCTGTTAGGTGGTGCTGGGCTTATAGAACTGTCCTCGGATGCCATGCTTTGAAGACTGCTTTTGGCATAAGCTGCAAAGTGTGAGCGTGGGGGAAATGTTGCATCGGTGGTAGGAATGAGGGAATTCACTTGGAGTTTGGGAGATATTTGGTAACCTCTCTTTGGTCTCACCAGCATACTGCGTTGTGTGCTCTGCTCTGTACAAGCCTGCCATAGCCTGTTTTATTATTCCAAGTAGGAAGCTGCTCTCCAGCTGAGCTTTCTTGCTGGTTGTAATCCCTGTCTAAAATGCAGTTGGAGACTCAGGGTAATGGGACTGACCAGATTAGAGCCCCATATGGAATGCGGGAAGGAGGGATCAGTGGTGCAGAATAGCAGCTTTGCCTGCTTTCTGTGATCCTTTTGGGAGGCACATGCGCCTTTTCGCAGTGAGTTTATCTGCTCCAGAAACAGAAGCACCCATGGGGAAAAAGCATTCCCCTGAGGGGTGGAGACTGGGAAGGGCCAAAGCTGTGATTTGGCAGCTTCTCTGTTCTACAAACACCTTTTTGTCTGGAGTCTCCTGCCAAGAAAGAGCATTGGGATTCTGTGACTTGGAGGCGAGTTGGTCCTTGGTAGAGGTTGTGAGATCAGCCTCACACCTGACTCTTGAAACGTTTGAGTAGTTGCTGCTGATCACCTTTCTATAAAGTGAGTTAGAGGAGACTCTACGGCAGCAAGGAGGAAGCAGCTCTCTTCCTCTCTGAAGTTGGGTAAACAGACTGGGATGGAACATTGCATCAGACACCCTGCCCCCACTTCTCCTGTTCCTGAGTCTCCGTGCAAGCAGAAGGATGGAAAAATGACCTTGTTTGTCCTGTGACATCAGTGTTCCTTGTGACTCAGTAATGTTGGATCTGGCTCACGGCCTCCAGAGACCAAGGAAAATGCAAACTTTATGGCGGAACACAATAGGCTTGCACACACAAGCGAATCAAATCCAAGTTTAACTTTCAGGGAAGAACTAATTCCAGCTATGCAAGCAGAGTCAAATACTTGGTGTTTTATCCCCTTGGGTAGGTAAGGGCAGTGACTGAAGGTTGGCTGTTTGCTGGCAGGGTTTAGAGGGCTGAAGGCTGTTTGCAATAAAAGGAAGTTGTGTGCTCAGGCAGCAGTCTTGATTCATGCTACAAAATGCCTTAATGTAAAGCGATAAGATGAGTATGTGGCTGGCTTGCTTCTGACCCCTCCCTGCACTCCCTTCCCCTTCGTGTTTAGAGGGTAAATTCTAAAGCTCCCCAGGGCCAAGTCTCTTCTGGGCAGGAGTTAATGGGAAAACTTTATTATACTTAAGCTTCTCACTTGGAGAACACTTAAATGACTCATGTGCCCAGCTTTGTGTAGCTGGCTTAGAAACACAAGCGTGTAGATGGAAAGCACAAACAGGGGCGACATTGTCTCCGCAGCAACTCCACATTCTTCTCTTGCGCAGCTGCTTGTCTTGGCACGTGCCAGCATATCTCGAGTGAGCATGCTAATTTGGTGGGCATTGCAGAAGGCGGGGCATTTTCCGTGGGGTGGTGGAATGTAGGGGTCAGTGTGGGCATCTCAGTTGTGGCAGTTTTGATTCCCGAGATGCATCAAATCTTAACTAGAGTGAATTGTTCCTATGAAGCAACCGCAGGAGTCAGAAAAGAGCCCTCCCACTCACAGATTTGTTACGCAGTGGCTACAGGCATAATTAGAGCTTGGATCAAGTCCTCTTTTAAATGAAATTCCATGTAGGGTTTTCTGTGGTATTTAAGCACCTCTGCAGAGTATCTGGAAACTCTCCATGTCAGTGTAATATGGATATGTTGCATATTACTATGCAGTAGATGCTCCCTGGTCATTATGGATTGGCTGAGGGGTTCCTGTCTGGTGGGTTCTGACAGGTAGTCTAACCACACAGGGTCTGAACAATAGGTTATCTTGCTGCACAATCTAACGTGTTTAAACTGGCTAACATAAGCCTAGAATTAGAATTAGATTCATCATTTCATTAGGTCAGGATTGAACTTCTGCTAAGCCTATCTTCAGAATATTTAGTGCGCAGGGCTCATTCTGAGATGCTATAATAAGTTGTCTCTCTGCAGATCGTGAACCATGGCAGACATGCAGAGCCTGGTTGAACGGCTGGAGAAGGCTGTGGTGCGGCTAGAGGGCATGTCCCGGGGCCCAGGCACATGTGGAGATGGCTCTCCCAAAGGTAAGGCCCCAGATGACAAAACCCCTGAGCTGTTTCATGTTAAGTTATGAAAATCCTCTACTAGAAGCTTTGCATGACTGACACTGGTGGTGCATTCCAAGAGGCAGATGCCTATACACAGCACTGGTTCGCATGCTCTCTGTGTCTGACTAGGCATACAAGTAGGGGAAGTGAGTTTCACAGCAGATATCACACGCACAAGTACAGGGAGGCCTGTGGTTACTGTTAAGACCAGAACTTCCTGTGAGTGTTATACTTTCCTTGTCTCTTTGGAGCCAAGCTGCTGCTGCTGCTTAAGCATTTAGACCAGCATCCAGCAATATACTTGAGGATCAGTCATATCAGATGCTCTGACCCCCATCATCCTGATCACTAAAGGTCTCCTTGAGAAATTTCACTGTAACAAAGGGGGTGGTATGCACTGAAAATGTGGCTCATGGATGCTTCTGTGCTGTGAATCCATCTGCTGCTACTTAACTGCTGCGCTCTGGCCTTTCCTGTAGGAGTAGCACAGTACGTGCAAGCTTTCGACTCCCTTCTGGCTGGTCCAGTAGCTGAATATATGAAGATCAGCAAAGAAATTGGTGGTGACGCACAGGAACATGTAAGACTCAGGCTTCTAATCCCATGTTGTAAATGTATGGCTGATTGCTAATTCAGACCTCTGAGGGCCACCCAAGAGTTCACTGAGCTCTGTGTTCCTTTAGCATAGTCACCTGGAGAGCAGGCAGTCTTTGTGGCTTCAGTAGAGGTCTGGGCCCTGGGGAGACCTTCATCTTTCTCTGTGGTTTCTCTCCCTCTAAGTCAGGATAATGCTCCCCAACTTTATTGCTGTTAAATATCTGTGTTGCCCCTTCTGACTGGCAGATGAGAAATGGGCAGGGATCTCCAAGTTAGCTGTGCTATATAAATAACAAACCAGAACGAATGGACCAGAATTGCCTTTTTTTCCACAATTGAAACAAAACCAGAGCAGCCAGAAAAGATGAACTGGTCCCTATAGCTGTCCTCTGCCCTCTGCATGTCATTACCTTAAGCTCTGTATCTCAGCACTTTGATTGATTAATGGATTTGTCCTTGCACCTCTCCCATGAGGTAAGGACTGTGTCTGTCCCCATTGTACCAATGGGGCTAAGGCAAAGGACTCTAAGGTTACGATGGGTGGTGGACATGGGAACTGAATCTGTCTCCCAGATTCCAGCTAGTATATTTATCCCTGGCCCTTCCTCTCTATCCATGCAACAGTATTACCACTTTCTCCCTTCCTTTTCAGGCTGAGATGGTTCACAAGGGCTTGATGATTGAGAGATCTCTCCTGGTAACAGCATCTCAGTGCCAGCAGCCATCAGAGGTAAGACTGAACAATGCTAGCAGGGATCCCTTGGAGGCGTATGTGTGTAGGGAAGGGGTCTTGGCTGATTTTGGGGACAAGTGCAAAAGTAGAGGATGTTGTGATAACTGGGAAAAGTTGAGTTTTTTTTTACAGCTGTGCCGTGAATTTACTGTAATTACATTGCTCATGATACAGCCAGACAGTTCCTTCTCATGCAGGCAGGACAGTTTCAAGTCACCTGTGTTTCATTGGCATCAACCCTGGATAGCCCCTGTTCACTAAGCTGTGGGATACAGAACATAATTTGCCTGAGCTGGAAACAACATTAAGCATTGAATAGATGATTCTTAGCATTACAGGGTGCTCACATCTTCACAAGTTCCTCACAGTGATTCTTACCTGGGGGGGTGAGCATCTGACTAGATTCTATGATGCCTCACCAGTGCCTAGGTTCATCGGATCAGTTGTCATTTCGTAAGCAGACCAACACTTGTCCCAGATCTGCAGGAAAGGGACAGGAAAAGAAGCTGGTTTTCTTCTTCTGACACTCACTTCCCCAGTGTTGCAATATCCACCTCTAACCCTTCCTTATAATAGCTCTCACATGGCAGCTGTCAGTGCTGCAAGACGTCAGTATTCCCACATTGCTTTCCTCTTCGCTCCAAAACATAGTGTCCCAGCTTAGCGTTGGAGGTTTTTCATCCTAAACCAGACTTCCCAGGATTGAGACATTCTGGATAGTCTGCTGGGCCAAGAACCCTCCTACAAATCCAACCGATTCATTATTTAAGTAGTTTGTTGGAAGTGGATTGCTCATAGCTTTTTGCTCCATGGTAGCTCTTTTTAAAGGCCTCTACTCAATCAATTCAGGTTTAATGCATCAAATATGCAAATCCCCAAGCTTTATTTACTCAAGTGTTTGCCCTGCTGATACCTGGCCATGGATTTCAATCAGAGTTTTCCAAACTGCAGCCTGAAGCACTAGCTGGTGGTCTCGGGGAACAACCTTCCCTTGTTTCTTTCTAGAACAGAGCAGGTTTAGAAGGGATAACAAAACAAAGGGCAAAGCAGAAAAGAGCAGTGCACATTTCCCTAATACTGCTTCCCTTGTATGCTGCTACCAGAGGTGGTCATGTGGTCATAGATGGCAAGGAGGGAGCCAAGACATCTGCTTTAGGGTTGAAGCTATGGAAAGCCTTGTTATAGGACAGGCCAATGGCATAGGAAAGCTCCTGCTGAGTGTCTGTGTCCTAACCTCTGGGTACATGCCCTAGAGCCTCACAAAGGAGGCTTTATGAGATGTGTGTACACCTCAGTATTAATGGCTGGAATTTTATTTTCAGAAGTAACTTTTAGAAGAGCCATCTCTGACCCTCCCATTGACTCACTGCATCCAGTTTACATATTGTAGGGACTTGGGTTGAACATGCAGAAACGTACCTAATAATATAAAGTCGTTACTTTGTTGTCTAAAGAGGAAGTGTGCTCAGCATGTTACAAAGGAAGTCAGTGACTTGGAAATCATCTGAGAACTACAAAAGCTTTGAAGGATGTTTCTGCCTCTTGCTACTTGGCTAAGGCTCCTGTGATACGTTACAAACATTATGCAAGTAACTGGTTAATTGCTTAATCAGTTTAGACTGGCCACACATGCAAAGTAACTATCACACCATATACATGTCCATCCAGCTATAAAAAGAGCTAGCCAGCTATGAAGATAGTGCTTGAAAGTGTGGAACAACTTAATAGCTGGTATCTATCGAGCTTCAATTTGAACATGTGGCAGGACCCTAAGATTTGAACATGTGGCAGGACCCTAAGATCTTCTTGGGTTCATGTCACACTGCCAATCTAACTCCAGACTGTGATTTCACTGCACTGGCTTGCTTCTCCAGCAGCCTAATTGAAGCAGAGAGAAAACCTCAGCTTATGTATCAGTTTTGCGAAGGCACTGGCTAGCTGGAACCCCTTTAGGGGATGAGCACCTTCTCAAACAAATTCTAAGTGCAAGGATGCAGTGCCCCTCTGAAAAGATGCTGACAATCTGACTCGGATGCCACCTGCCCTTCTGTTTTGTAGAGTAACCTCTCAACGCTCATGAAACCCATTTCAGACCAAATCCAAGTGGTGCAGAACTTCAGGGAGCAGAATCGTGGCAGCAAACTCTTCAACCACCTATCAGCTGTCAGTGAAAGCATCCCAGCCCTAGGCTGGGTGGCCATGGTAAGACCAGGAGCAGGCAGTGAGCTCCTTGGCATGGGAGGGAAAACAAAGATGAGTGCTGCAAAAACCCCTGGGCTTTAACTCATTCTCTCTTCTCTAGGCTCCAAAGCCTGGCCCCTATGTGAAGGAAATGACTGACGCTGCCATGTTTTACACCAACCGGGTCCTCAAGGAGTACAAAGATGTGTAGGTTCAGCTTTACGCTACATGGTGGGAGGGCTGCAGACCCCTGGGTACTGAGATCAGGAGTTAGACCTCCCGCTTGGGTGCATGTGGAGCTTCCAACACATCACAAAGAGTTAAAAGAATAAAGCTTCTCAGTTTCTGGGATCGGCCTCTATGTTGGGGTACAGCATTGCACCTCACTAGTCACACTTCATCTGGGAGAACCTTGTCTGCCTCAGGCAAGGCCCTTCCAGTTACATTGTGAGCCACCCCTCAGTCAGTCTCCAGAATCTGGAGCTCTAGCGGCTGTGAGCTGAGCCACAACTAAAGGTGACTCCCTTCCATGAGTCGCTCAGAGCCTGGCCCACAAAACTTAGAACCACTCCTTTAACTGGGAAGGCTGTATTTATTATGCCTCGGCTCCTTCTGTGGCACGGTCACCACACTTGGATCTGTGCCCTTGGTAGATCAGTGGAAGCAAGTGTGTTGACATCCTTCATCTAGTAACCCTCTTTGTCTGTTTCCCCTAGGCAACAAGACCTTTTCCCCAACTAGCTTAAATCAAGCCCCTAGCTATTGTAATAAATGCAGGTCTGGTTGGTTCTGTATGATGTCTACCCCTGACAAACTGTGGAGGGCTGGGATCCAAGACTCAGCCCTGCATAAAAGTGGTTTTAAATCTTTCCCTGTATGGTACAGACTGCCCTCCAGCTGTCTTGCCAACAGCAGCCCAGGGCTGAGGACATGGTGTCTGGCACTTTGCTCTCAGCATTGGTGTCACTACAGAGTCTAAATGGTCTCCTGCAAAGCAGAGGACAAAGAAATGCAAAGATCCAGTTCTGGTGGCATGGCTTCCCTCTCTCTCCTACACTACTCAGCTCCTGATGATTTTGTTCCCTTAGAGATAAGAAGCAGGTGGACTGGGTCAAAGCTTATTTGAGTATCTGGGCGGAGCTGCAGGCTTATATCAAAGAATATCACACCACTGGACTGGCCTGGAGCAAAACGGTGAGCACTGATTAGGTTGGCCGTCGGAGCTTCCCACTCTGCAGGGCTGGCAGGGTGTGACGGGCACCAGGTGATGAACACCCAAGCTTCAAACATCCTCTCTGGCACTTCTTACAGGGTCCTACAGCCACACAAGTGGCTGGCATGCCTCCTGCTCCTCCTCCCTTTGCCCCGCTG